AAAAAGAATTAAAATCTTAAAAAGTTATTTAAAAGAAATAAATGTAAAATGATGTGGAAAAGAAGAAGAAAACAACCCAAGAATAACATTTGACATTTGAAAGAACTGAACTGATTTCTGGAAATAGGAAAGAAAGAGAGAAAGAAAGAAAGCTGGAAGAAAGAAAGAAAAGGGAAGGAAGGAAGGAGGGAGGGAGGGAAGGAAGGAAAAAAAGAAAGAAAAAGAAAGAAAGAAAGAAAAGAAAGAATCCCTCTAGAAAAATGTCCTAATAGCTCAAGTTTCTCCATGCCATTCTGATGCTCTCTGTAAAAGAGCTGAATTTGTCGGAGATGCAATGACTGCATCAAGTACTATAGGAAAAAAGAAATACAAAAATTAGCTGGGCGTGGTGGCATGCACGTGTGATCCCAGCTACTCCGGAGACACTCAGTCTGGGTGACAGGGTGACAGAGTGAGACTCTGTCTCAAAAAAAGAAAAAGTAAAAAGAACTCTTCTTTCCCTGGGCAAAGGGCAGCTGTAGGTTACTGTTGGGCCTGCTTCCCCCACCATCCTCAAATAATATGAAGCTGAAACCTGGCAGGAGCATTTACCCTGTGATGTTGAAAATACATTGCTCTTCAGAAGAAAAATAGAACTCCAAGGAATTTTTAAAAATTATTTTAGGTTTAAAGTTCTTGTAGAGGTAAAGTAGGCATTTTGTCTTCATAATCCATTGTTTCTTTCCCTCTTTAACTGTAGCCTAAATGTACAGTACAGCAGTTTCACCAAAACATTTCTATTAATAGAGTAAAAATATAGCAGCTCATGTGCCAAGAAAGAAAATTTTCAGGGTAATTCCCTGAAAATATCTGGAAATTCATTAGTGAATTGTATTTAAAATATCACATGCTATGCCAGCTTATTTAGTATTCCCTTGGAGAAGCCATCGTCAGTGCACTGAGTGGGTTCAACACAATCTGATTTGACAAATGTTTAATAACCTACTATGCACAAGAGACAGCTTCTCCACTCTTGGAAGCCAGTTTAATAATTAAGACTAAACCTACCAATTATTGCATCCTTTTGAATCTATTCATCTGCCAAAATTATTCTCGTGTAATTTTAACTATTTCAGGAGAAAGAACAAAACTATGTGTACATTGATAAGATAAAACAAAATGATAAAGTAGAAAATTCACAGTTGGGGGCTGGGTACATGTGTCATTTGCAAATGCCCAAAGCAAACAATCTTTCCCTGTACATGAACCATATGATGTTATTAAAATAGCCACATTAAGTGGTAAAGATGAAGGTAAAAATTGTGACAGTAAAAATAATAATAATATGAATACTAATACGGTAATAGAAGCTACCAATTCTATAATATGATGGCTACTCCTAGTTATGCCACATGTTATGTCTTTTCTTTCTCTTAACAACTCAACAAAATGAAGATTGTGATTTCCAATTAAAAGGAATAAACAACTTTAAGAGTTAAGGAACCCATTATAAATCTCACTAAAGCTAGCAAGTTGAAAAATACTGATCCCATATTGAATCGAGGCACAAGAAATTTCCTACTACTATGTTCCTCTTCACCCACATATACAGTATCACTCCAGGTTTCATTCTTACAATGAGGTAATAACCTACAGATTTATGAAATACTCAAGAACAGAAAACATGCCTAATGTTCACCAACTAATTATGCCTCCATCACTGCAAAAATGCCTTCAGTGAACATTACCAGTGCTAATAACTGAATCTCCTCATTATCAGAGCATTTTTCCTTTTGGAAAATGTCAAGTATTCTATAGGCCTACATCTGCCTTTTATCTTCCTTCTCAGATGATAGGATTTGTGACTGCCATCTCTGCTCTGAACTAGAAAGCAGCTGAATGTGTGGATCATATAGCTCTTAGAATCAGTATCACCGACTGTATTTCACTAACTGCACAAAAGGCAGAGACCTCTAGGCAATTGTTCATTTGCTCAGTTGATCTGGGTGCTTGCCCTCCATTTGCTATTTAACGAGTGTAAAGTTTCAGTTTTGCAAGATGAATAAATTCTAGAGATCTGTACAACACTGTGCCTATAGTTAACAATACTGTGTTATACACTTAAAAATTTGTTAGGAGAATAGATCTCATTGTGATGTTATTACACATATGTAATAAAAAAATATTTCCTGAAACTTAAATGTGTGTATTATATAGTTTTTAGAGTTTTATAAAAGCGTTTTAAAATTTTAGACTTTTCTAAATGTATATAAGAAGTTTGATAAAAGTATAACATTTATGTAAAATTTCTAACCTCAGACCTACAAATGATCAAAAATGAAACATGAAATTCTAGCAAATATCAACAAATCATTGAAATCCTAATACACATCTCAAACATACTATGTCTAAAACTTTTCTCATCCAAACTGCTTCTTCTGCCATCTTCCCCATCTCAGTTAATGGGAAATGCCATCCTTTTAGCTTGCCCTTACACCTCCCATTAATCTGTTACAAAAGTCTGTCAATTCTACCCTCAGCATGCAACTCCGATTCCACCACGTCTCACCTCCTCCAGGGCTGCTGCTCTGGTCCCAGTCCCAATCTTCCCTCATCTCGATTGCTTTTACAGACTCCTGACTGGTCTCCCTACCCTGCCCTTACTGAGGCGAGGCCTATCTCATCCCAGTTTTATCCTGAGCTAAGCCAGCGTCTTGACAGTAACCTCCATGTCCTTACAAGATTGGCATGATCTTCTAACCTTCTCCACCTCACCTTCTCTGCCCTGTTCAAGCCACAGTGACGTCCTTCAGGGACCTCCTATGTGCCAGGAATGCTCCCCACTACAACCCCTTCTCTCCGCATTCATTCTTCCTAGAAATCTGTTGTTCCTGAGATCTGCATGGCTTCTTTCCTCACTTATTATTTCAGATCTTTATGCAAATGTCACATCCTCAGTGAGTCTTTCCCTGAGCTTATTTTAAATTACACTCTCCCCATGCCCCTGACCCCCGATTCTCTAGTTCAGTTTTTTTTTCCACAGAATTTATTCCGACTGCACTTACTCTGTATTCACTTGTTTCTTTTTTGTCTGCTTCCTTCATCTCCCAAACCCCCTACCAGATTACAACTTCTATGAGGACAAGCATGTTTTACTATTTTGTTCACCATTTAATTTCAAGCACCTAAAGCAAGACTGACACATAAGACGTGCCCAATATATACTTAATGAAAAATTTCATATAAAAACGAAATAGCTATGCGATACCTATAAACATCAGCGTAATAGAAAATTAAGAGGTATCCTTGGTAACAGCCCTCTTCATTCTTTGCTGAACCACTTCATTTCTTATTCAAACATCAGGATATTCTGAGTAGCATACTTATCCCCAAATCAGAGACGAAAATGCAATTTACTAATTAAAATAATGGATTTTAAATAGTTGCCTTTTTAAAAATTTTTTTAAACACCTTCCTTGTACATCTTATCGAAATTGCTTTTCTTTCTTTTTTTTTTTTAAATAAAAGTGATCTTTTTTTCTGCTTCCTAGCAGGCTAGCTATATTAATATTCCAGTATGGACATGAATATCCCATTGTGTATTTCCAAATATGAGTATTATTGAGAATAACTTTTAACTAGAGGCATGTGTTTCAAGCAGAGATTCATTTTGAGGGGGGGACTTGGTTTTCCTTTTATCAATTCATGATTAAAATTAATTTTAAGGTAACCCATACATTTATAATGAAGACATTTTCTTTAGGCTACCTCAAAGTTAGACATATGCCTTGAAGCAATTTTATTAGCATACTCAGGCTCTATTTTAGCAGTTTCATTTGTTACATTAGACACATTCTCCAGAAGAAATTGCATTTTTAGTAGTTAAAAAAGTCCCCTGGCTCATAGTCTTGCTCCATAATAATTTCTTTTTCTTAAACGTTGTTTTGAAACGTTATACAAAGGCCATCTTTACTTAAAGACAGAGAATATCCTCCAATAGCTTGAAGAATATAAAAAAACAGCCCTCAACAGAAAACTGTTGCCACTCAGTCTATCACCGCCTCTCCATATTTAACATTACTTTTCAAAGAAAGATTACCTTAAATTTTCCAACAGGCTTCTGTTTAATCATTCAATTTGCCATGGTGTTGGATGTTTGGAAGGTCCACTCTTCAGTGCAATTTCCTCTGTCAGAAGAGCTTAATTCTCACGCTGACTGAGTAGATCACGTGGGGCTCTGCTCTGCTCTTAAAAGCCCCCCCTCTTGCCAACATCTGTCTATTTATTTCAGATATAGAACAGATACTGAGCTTCTTAAAATGTAAAATCAGTGCTAGGTCTAGGATATAATTAAAGTCAAAACAAACGAAAGTATAAATAGCTCTTGAAAGGTATATGAGAAGACTAGAGGAGCCTCACCCTAACAGAAGACTTTAAAAGACCTTTTTTTTATGTTGCTTCTAATCTGTCCTGGCAGGTGACTAGATGAAAAACCCAGGATCATCTATGTTACAAACATAAGTAAATTGTAAATTTATAAATTCTCAAGTTTGTATTAAGCATCTTGGAACCCTTGAAGGCTCTAACTGAAAATACTAGGCTAGCAAGACAGACGCCATTTTGACTTGTATAAAGGGACTCCTTAGATTAACTTTCTCCATGAGCAATGGAAAAAATAGATGGAACATCTATCATAAGTTAATACATTTAGAATCAGCCTTGTAGCTTGAACTTCTGGCTCAATAAATACGTATTTTGGTCTAATTGTATGGTTTGAGGAATAAAAACCTGGCCTGTGTATTTTATTTTTTAACTAGAATTACTCCCATATCTGAATATCTTGTTTAGCTTTGAAGAAAAAAATCTGGATGCATGATTTTAACATAAAAACAAGCAAAGCAGCTTGTGGTCCCCAGAAATGATTAATAGAAAAGTGATTAGAATTAATCACAAACATAAGAGGAAGCTGAAATTAGAGAGGGTTGTTAGGATACTGGCTGCTGTTTAATCTCACCCCTTATCAACACATTAACCTTGTTTTCTCTGCCTGAGCACTAAGTCCTACAGCAAAATTAGGTCAGAAATTCACATCAGATCAGATCAACTGATTCATTCCAGCAAGACCCTGACATGCTGCAGATTTCAGTTTAATTCTGGATAGGAGGATGGCTGAGGGCTTTTTGGTTTTGTTTTGCTTTGTTTTCATATGTTACTGAAAGCCTAGGCTAGTTGTAGAGTATTTCTGTGCTACCTGTAGAGTATTCCTAAATAATCTAAGGCAAGCTGGTAGAGTATTTCTTAAAGCTGACAGTGGGTTTCCAAACCTTTGTTTAACCATGTTCACTTCACCTGTGTAATGGAGCTTACACACTCCTTTTCATGTACAAATAGGATATTTTGTTTATCTACATGCCTCCAATTAAAACAAACCTAATAATATTAGCTAACCCTGAGAAAAATAGCTATTCATGCTATACTGAGTGGATATATCATTCACAAAAATATACTTCAATAGATGCTATTTCCATAAAGTCTACTGCCACAAATCATGGGTATGATCCAGAAGGCATTACTATCTAAAGAGGATTTATGCCACTGTTAACATTTCTGTAATAAAAGCTCTATGTGTAATTATGTCTTTAGGTAAAGCAGTCATTCAAAATATTAACCAATTCAAAACTTGGATATAATCATTTGCTTTTTGAGTAGCAATATGTTAGTAAAGGAAAAACAAGTATTTTCTCTACTTTTATTTTTGCTTTATTTTTCTTCATGTTCCAAAGGATGGACTTCAGTGGTTCTTTGATTCTCTTTTTTTTTTTTTGGTTCTTTGGTTCTTTTTGCATAACATAAATACTGAATCTTTCAAATACAGATAGCTTTCAAGTATATATATACTAATATGCAATTGCATGTAGTTTTTAAAGGAGCTGTAAGTAATCTAATTCCATTTCTGACTGCCACTTTTAAAGAGGAAATATAACCTCATATAGATCCCTTGAGGGCATCCACAGGGAACAGAGACATTCCTAATCAGCCTAAGTAGTCCTTTGTGTCAGAACCACTTTGCTGAAGTCTAGAGCTGTCTTCCAGATTCACAATGTTTAGGAAAACTTAACTAACGTAGCATTTGAAAAAAAAAAATCCTACCCTTTTCTATGCTCGAAAAACATGTACTAGGAATAGATTTTCTTGTTGCTTTCAATTTAAAGGATTTTTCCCATATTGTTTTTAAAATACTATAGCTAATAGCAAAATGAGACAGTGCAGGGACTAGTTCCAGAATTCAGAAAGAAAACTTTGCTTGAAGGGAGTTTTTGTGCATTTGATGTATCAGATGATCTTTGAATTGCCTGTCCTTCTCAGTGAATATCATCACTTGATGGCCAAAACTTGGTGGCCTGTAAATAGTCAACCTCAAAGGAGAGCCTTATGTTCACAGGTATACCCAGATCCTGCCTTAAGGGATATTTGTGCCTGGACTCTGTTCTCATTGGTCACTTGCCTTCTTCTCATTGACTGGTTCCTGAGCTTGTCAATGGTTCAATACATGACTATCGTTCCTGTTCCTTACCTTTTCACTCACTCACATGATAAACTGGGATTTTGCAATCCAGCTCAAGGGAACTCATTTGTGTGAAGCTGTAGGTTTTGTATGTTTATTTTCTTACAGGTTTTTCAACTCATTTCTGTGAAGCTATAGGTTTTGTGTGTTTGCTTTTTTATAGGTTTTTCATAAAAAAGTAAATCTCATTTAACAGTGCCTGCACAAAACCATTAGGATTTAAAATATCAGAAAGATGAGCTACTAAAATATTTTTTCATTCTCCATTAAGTTGTTTCCTTTAAGTCTTTTTTTCTCTCTCACCAAATGTTATTTGAAGCTGTTACAAAAAACACTAACAACATCACTTTTTATTTATTTGATATTTTTCACCCAGCCAGACTTTTGAGTAAAATCCCATTTGAGAAATGGAAGTGAAGGTACAAGACAGTTAATAGTGACAATGTGCTCAAGTTAGTTTAAAAATAAGGAATTGGGCTCAGAAAGCCTAAGTGACTTAGAACACTGAGAAAGTGATGAGGATATTCTTTTTCTTAGAGCTCAGTGTTTTAAGCTTTCCAGCTTCAGCACAAAAGGCATTTCAGCACATATGTGATCCAGAAGGTCAATCATATGAAATCCTATTTCCATTTTTTAAGCAATCCTTGGCAGTCTGCACGTTTCTGAAATTGCAACTGGCATATTTCACAGAGAATTATCATCAATGCCTTTTCAAGGTCAAACGTGCCTCATCTTTAGATTTTTCAGCATGTATATTCTATACGCTAAATCATAGTATATTTTTAAAAGGCGTCCAGCAGATATGTCATATAATTGTAATTACTTAGACTATGTTTGTTAATGCCAAATTGAATTCTCTCTACTCAACGTAAATTGCATATTAAAAATATTAAAATATGTGTTAGATTTAGATGTTGGTCTTCTGTATCTTTCATCACCCTGGAATTTGAAAATGCCAGTATGGCTAGGATCTTGCCATGGACTTTCTCAAAATATTTAAAATATTTTTTTATTAAGAAAGTGGCAGCAATTCCAAAACTGTAGTTTGAGGAGAGAATAAAAGACTGTTATTATTTTTCAATTATCAGAACTCCAAGACACCCAGTCACCATATGAATCAAATAAAATTGAATCTGGACATGACCATGAGTGCTGAGGCTAGAACACTTGAGATTCCACAGCCATCTATCATGAGGAGGCTTAAGACTTTAGCTTCCTCCTCCTGTCCTATCATCATTTGTTTGGCCTGTTCCACTTTTCTCTCTCCAACTTCCTCCCTTACCTATCCAGATACTACCCCTGTCCTCACAGTGTACATGGGTCCTGATTTTGGAAAAGAAAGACACCAGAGAAATCTCAACAACCAGAAAACTTTACTGGTATTATGTCCCTTCCAAAGATACTTATATTTTAAATGAAAATTCCAGAAAAATATGTTGGAGAGGGGGAATAGGAAAGAAAGGAAAGTCCTGGATAGTAAGACACACTACATTTTTCAAATCCCGGCGCATGTGCTGACTGTGAGGACAGTAAAAAATAGTGTTTGGGATATGATTGACCTCGCCAGGCTTGGGGCATGCCTCACAAATGACTGCCTCCCGTATGTGCACCTGGTCAGTGTTCCTGCTGCCATCTGAGTCTCTACCTGTGGTTACCTTTGAGGTGAGGTCTGAGTGTGTTCTGATCGGGTAATTCTTCTGTGCTTCCGCGGTGTAGGCATGGAACAGGCTTCCACCTTGGTTTACTTTTCTAGCCTGCTATTTTTGACTAGATCTTGTCCTAGGCTCAAAGCTCTAGCTCTTCTCCACTGGGCAACTATTAACTATACTGGTTTTTGGAGAAACAGGGAGAAAGGACTGTTATTTAATTCCACCCTTCAGTTTCTTTTTCTACTAGTTATTCTCAACTGCTCTAATGATTTTTCACAAGTTTTACCTCCATAATTTGCCTTCTGATTTAAATCTACGTATTGACTTTAAAGAACCAGGTTTGGGGGCTTTTCATGCAAGATTTTAGTCTTTCATTCATTCATTGTATATCCATCCACATACTGTGGTATATGTCCTCTCATGAGGGCTGAGCAGTCTGTGATCCATCTAAAATGTCCTAGGTGCCTCCCTTCCTACCTGCTCAAAGACACTTTAACAGTAATGTTTCCCTTTCTCTAAGTCATCAGTATTTCTCCTTCTACAGAAATCACTCACATCCGCATTTTAAATATGCTAATGTTCTCCCTTCTTACAGGAACAAAATTAAAAAAAAAAAAAAAAACTGCCACAGATGCCACTTGCTCCTCCAACTACTATATTTTTAATTTTGTAACCTCATAAATTCCCAAAATAATTATTTATATTTTGCTTCAAATCCTTTATTTCCATTCTCTTGTGAACATAATCCCACTGGGTTTTGTGCCTAGTCCTTCAATGAAATTGCTCTTGTTAATAACACAAATGTGGTAAAAAGCAATGGTCAGTTCTCAGGCTTCAACATATTTGATGTATCAGCCAAATGTTTCTCTCTTCTTTAATCTCTTTTGACACTTCACTCTAAGGCATCATTCTCTTTTATGGTTCTCCCCTCTCACTAAATGTTCTTACTGGATTCTTCCACTGTTCCTACACATGAGCCATCAGATGCATCCAGGGAGCAATCCTGGGTTCTTTTATAATTTCTATTTAAATTTAAGTCCTAATTATCCTCATATAGGCTCATGATGGTGAAATCATAGACTACAACTCTCACATTTGTACCTTCGGCTTGGAATTCTACTGTAACTTCCAGATTCTTTACTCAGCTGCCTCTCCATCAACTCCACTTGTACTTTTAAAAGTCTTTATGAAATTGTCATACCAAAGCTGAGCTCCCGATCCCCCATCACTTACCCTAAACTTGTTCCTCTTTTAGTTTTTGCCATCCCATTAAATGAAAACATCATTCTGCTAGTTTAGGCAGAAACAAAATAAAATAGAAAACAACAACAACAGAACAAATTTGAGAGCCACCTCTAATTAATTATTTTATCTTGCTCAACTACTGCATTTCACCAATCAGAAAATTCAGATGGTGCCAATAATTTGATTATTTTACACCACCTTTACTGCTATCATCCCAGTGCAAACCAACATTATCTCTCACCAGTTAGGACACAACATAATAGATGATTTACTTCCGTCTTTTGCTCTATTCTCAAGCATGGCTAAACTCAAGTTTTATCTTCTGTTGATGGGGTGAGTGGAAGTGAATGTCTCCAGATCACGTGGGACTTCTTCAATTCAATGTGTGATCTGAATTATCTTTACTTTTACGCTATTAACATAGTTCTGAAAAATATTGCTTTATCAGACTAGCAGGAATCAATTCAAAGATTACATAAATGGATTACTTAGACCTCACTTACTATGCAATAACAGGGTTTTGCTATGTCTCCCTCTACCTAAATTTCTGTTCCAAAGCCCCTTGGACTTTAGACCTCTGAGGTTATGCCCTTTCTTGAACACTTGACAGTTAACCACCTAAAAATTAGCCATCTTTGTTGTCTTCATAACTATGAATCTTTAAATAGAAACCTACTAAAGCTTGTTAATGAAATTCAGAAGACAGTAGTACAGTGATTAGCGCACTTTGGGTGTTCTATAAGATCTAATGGAATAATCCAGAAAATAATTTTATTTATATGCTTATAGAAAGGATTTATTATTGAGTGTTAATGCCAAGATTGCAAACTTCAGATTTTATATTTTTGAAGTTACTTTCAAAAACATGTAGGCCATCCTTTGTATTTTGAATTTTACAAAACTCAGACTCATAAAACTAAAGTTAAAAGTTCACATACACAAAGAAGTCCATCAAAAATACTTCACAGAAAAAAAAATGTTCTAAGAAGTCATTTACACACCCTAGAAAGGAATCATTATACCCATTAAAATTGGTTAGAAATCCAAATAACATAGTACTCAACAACAAATTTATCAACTTTAAATATAAATACATGCAATTGTAAAATGTTATCAATTATGCAACTTTTATACCTGATAATAGAATATATTTTCATTTTAATAGTTCGGAGAAAAAAGAGGACTCTTTTAAAACAATCTTCTACACCATTCATTTCTATTTCTAGTTGTTTGCTTCCAAATAGTCTCTATCTCCATAAAGTTATTTTAAATTAAATGATTAGAGTAGTGTGATCTTACCTAACTTCTTTATAAGCATGAATATTTCATTTTAAAATAATTTTTTAAAATATAATAGCATTCAGAGATTAGATGAAAAATCTCCCAGTGAACCATCAAAATATCTTCCATATTATTATCATTCAGTTATCAAGCTAATTGATATGGATTAATTCCCTATATTCTGGATTTTGCACTTAGTAAATGAACTTTATTGAAGAAACAGGACTCCATCAGACACAGGTGTCTACCTGCACCACCAGAAGACACACACACATGCAAACTGAAAACATTGTAATATTCTTTAAAAAAAATCAAAAGATGTGCAATCTTCTTTTGGTGTCAGCCCTCCAGGAAATTTAACCTCAATTTGGAAGGCCACCATCTGGGGCTCATCAGCTAGTAGCTGGTAACTTTTGCATCTTAAAAGTAATTCTGTTTGAACAAACTTGTATCACTTGGTTCCAAACAAGAAATTTAACAGCCATAAAATTCTGCATAGGGAGAGCACACCCTGAGGATTCTACCTGGCTTCAGAGGCTCACGTGACTCTAATTATTGATGCGTCTTGGTCATAATCTAGAAAGAAGATGAGCTCTATTTAAAGGTAAGAACTATAACCAAAGGCTATTAAAGGTGGGGATTTTCATCAAACTTGGGCTATTAAAGGGTTTGTGTGTTCCCTCTCACCTTTGCCAGGTGGGTATTGAGCATGAGTTTTTGTTACGAGGAAATTGAATTTTCCCCCGTCTCGTTTGTAGCTGCATATGCACAAAACACAACAAAATAACTTTTGTTTACTGAGGATGCTGTTGGCAGGGTGGGTGGTGCTTTTGTTAGAGCTGAGGGGTCACTTTCACATGCTCTCATTAAGTCTAACTGACTCCGAAAGACCTTTCCTGACCAAGTGACAACATCACAACCTTGGCAGCACTTGCAGACTTTCTTGTATGCACAAAACTCGAAATAATTTTATTTGTATTTACCGCTTTATTGCTTCTTCTTGTCTTCGGCGTTTTTCATTCTTCTCTTTCAAATAGGCCAAGTTAGTTTCATTTCTCAAGCGATCATTCTCTCGAGCAATGTCTGATGCATTCTGAATAACCAAGCCATCGTAGGCCTTCATCCCCATATCCTCTATGTACTGGAGAAATGTGTCCAAAGGATCTTCCTCGGGATTAGAACTCATCATCTTGGAGGATATCATGTAAAGAAGAACACTGCCTACAGGGTGAGAACACATTATACTTTTATCCAGGGTCGGGAAAAAAAAACAAGGTGCTGTTTATTATCCCTAATAACTCAAATCTCTGAAGATAGGGCAGAATCCAATTGGAGAAAATGTCTCACTAGAATAATTACAACCAGAGCATTTGAAGTAAATATTAAATAAATGCTACCCGAGTAGTAAACTGTCTCTCAAAGCAGCTACACTGGCAGGACAAAGGCCAGAGCTCTTGAACTAAAAGATGATGTGAAGGTGTAAATACTGTATGCAAAGATAAACATTTGGTTTGCATAATTATAATAATAATTTTGTTTGTCAGGAAGTGTTTTTATACAAATAAGATATGTAAGATCCAAGCTTCACGTATTTCTCATTTCCAGAAAGACTTTTCTGTTCAATTTCAAATAAAATGATGTGATTATTTGGAAAGAACTTTTGTACATATATGTGATTTTTCTTAGTTTTTAAAATTAAAATGTATGAATCTGAAGTATTTATGCAAAATATAGTAGCAGTAAAAGAAAGACATGTTTCTAATATAACTTGTCTAGGAAATAATCCTTTTTAACCTCTCATTTCTTTCCATAATGATCCTCCATAATGCCTTCCTACTGTAACTAGCATATCATAGATCACTAGAACCACATTAATCCTGACCAGTCTGGTAATTCAAGCATTGACAACTGTTGTCTCATTGTTACATGAAGTTTTAAAAACTTGAGACTCCGAAAGTATGACTGAGAAACCAAAATTAAATCAAAACAAAACAAAAAAAGCATAGGACTTTCAACCAGTATATATTACCCTCAACTGTAAAGTGACAGTAGTAGTACTCCTACCTCCTGTTGATGTGAAGATTAGGAGAGGTGAAGACTGTAAATAATTTAGAATAAAATAATTATAATAATTGAGAATAGTGTTCGGCAATAGCCAATATCTAATACTATTAGCTAACATTATCATCTAAAAGTATGGAAGGAAGACTGACAGCAATAGTAATGTCAAATGGGTATGTGTGGATTGATGTGTAGATGGACAAATGGATGGAAGGAAGTCTTACTGTCCTAATTGCATGTTCACTGTGGTATCAGAAACTAGTATCATTGAGTCAGATTGAAAAACCAGAAGCAAAATCAATTAACAAGGGGGAAAAAAAATCTCCGTTCAAAAGTTGTCAATTCCCTTACATGTTTTACTTTCTTTAAAAGGCTTTGAAGATATTTTTAAAATATCATCCCAACTATTTGATGTAAAACTCCCAGACTTTCGCTTCTTCAATTACAAATCATTTTCATTCTGATTTTTTTACAAGTATAATCATGTTCCAAAACCTGGATCATAACTATGGAAATTTTACTTTTCATCAGACTTTATTAACATTTCAGCTGCCAGTCAATCCATATTTGGAACCCATCCTGAATTTAAAGATTTTCTCTCCCAATTAGAGAAATTATTGAAATTGGAGTCTAGATAGATTAGAAATTAGGAATTATTGAAACTGGAGTCTAGATAAGGCTATTTATTGAGTCTTGATTTTTTTATGTTAAGTTTTAGTATGTTTTGTTCTATGTTAAGCTGTAATGGGTTAGCCAATGAAATGGCCTTTTAATTCCAACTATGTAGTGTAACTGAATTGTATTTTAATATCAGTCAATCAGATTAGATGCTTACACGATGGACATTCAGAATAGTAAATTAATGTGACAAATGATTACAATTTAGGGAAAAATACGAGAAAATGATTCTCCGAGAGCTAAAGCATTGCCATTGTCAGAAATTCACTTCTATCAAGGACTTTAGCACTAGTAGTGCCTGGATAAAAAAAGATCAGCATAACTTTACCACAATTAATTCTACCGAAGTTAGGCAAGCCAAGTCACTATTACAAGAATTCTAGAGATAATGCCTCCAGCTGGAAGATGATCATTCCTTCTTTGCCCTCTAGCAAAATTGTATATTTCCCAATTGAATAAGCCATTATTACCCATTATTACTTTTTCTTAAGTTTTCCTCCAACCAAAATGACACCAGAGATTCTTACACAGTTTACATATTCCAAATATCAATAAGGTTATTTGTTTACCTCTGAAAGCTAATTATCTTCCTAAGTGGTCTTTCAAATTGGCTGGAGTTTAAATGATTTTTGTTCTGAGAATATGTTAAATAATAATATTACAAAGTTTTTACACTATAGAAATGTATTTCTTTTTTAAAAAATGGAGATCAAATGTTTTGAAATGAAGATCAACCATTGCATCTAGTAAAACTTCAAAGTAATGAAAATTAAATAAATATTCATATACAGGCTCCTTCCACCTAATTCTAGAAAAGTATTAAATTCCATGACCATTCATTAATTCAAGTATTTGTTGAGCATGTATTATGAACAGGTCCTAATGAAGGCAGAATTATGTCCCTCTAGATGTCTGTATGTCAGGGTTAGAGCAAAATAAATAAATAATTGCAATTTTGTGACTAGTATTGATTCAGGTGGACTTCATAGTTGGTCACACGTGTCTTATTTTCACTATTTTTAAGGGTGAACAAGAACCATTTTTCAACAATCATGTTTAGTTTCTGAAAATGGACACAGGCCCTATCGATGTCTAAACATCACACCTTTTTGTTTACTTGTCCGCACGTAAAAAGTATAACAGTTTGTAATATTGAGGAGGCTGTGAGGCTGCCCTGAAGGGCACAGATGAGAAGGCTGGCAGAATACTCTAAATCCCAGTGAAGGTACCTCTAGCTCTAAGAGTTTGCACAAGTTAATTAATGTTTTTAAGTTTCAGTTTCCACATTTCAAAAAAAAAAAAAAAAAATGGTGGTTGGAATAGATTCATGATGTGAAGATTGAGTTAGAAACGCATAAAAGTATTCCATAAATTTAACCATAATTGTTAGCCACTAACATTACTATTAGATAGTTTCCCAATTCTTAACTGTGACTAGAATTATATTTAATAACAGTATAACTCCTTGATGAATGTAATTTTACTTTGAAACAAAGGTGAGTACAATGTTTAGTGTAGTTCAATTTCCCTAATCATGTATGCATAAATGGAGGCTGGGTTAGGAGTTAATACATTTTTCCACCAATCAAATATATATGGGCAGCCCCATGTATCCATTGTCCCCCATTGTTCACATCTAGAATATAAGGAAACTGGGATATATGGACCACAAAGCTCATCCCATCTCTCAAGCCTTTGGTCTCCATCCTTCCAAGCCTAAAAGTGTTTCTCAGGCAACTGAAGTATGAGTAAATAGATCCATGTCCTCACTAGAGAAAGCAGACCTTACGTTCATTGTCTACTTCATTACAACTGGTACCATTTCAAAGCAGTGAGAACTTACAGACAAGTATAACCATACATCTCTTTGTCTTTCAGAAATTTATATTTACAGCTAAGATAGATATTGAATAAGGTATGTTGCAAACCACCAAAAACTTGTCTGCATTTTGACTGTTGGCTATTCAATCAAGTTTATTTCTGGCCCTTAAGTGACAATGCTATATACAAGCATATTATAAAGGTTTGTCTTAAGCATAGGATCTTGTGTCAGCATCCTAGAAGACCCTATTTGTTAAGAGGCAAATAGACCCCTCTCTTCCAGGTAGCATCTTTAGCTCTGTCTCAGTAAGTGAGGGAATTTGGCATACTGGACTGTTAACTGGCGCATGGGGTATTTGTGACAACAGAGTGGGTGAGACTAAGGAGGAACTCTGGCTTTTCTACAGGCATCCCTTTTAATTGAGTTCATCCCCTTTAATTAAGTTCATTGAGTCTGTTGCCATTTTTGCTCAAAACAAATCATATTATTTTAGCCCCTTCCCTGCTCGCTGAGCGTTGGTTGAAAA